ACAGGAAAATTACCAACACTACGCCAGCCAAAGGACGATTCAACAAGGAGATCTTTATATGATAGGAAGAAATACAGTCAAAAAGATATAATCCTTATAGATTGTAATAACATATAAAATAAAATTATTCAAAAAAATATTTTATATTCGAAGTAAATTCTTATAGATTGTGATAACATAAAATAAAATTATTCAAAAAAAAAAATTTATATTCGAATTAAAATTAAAGGTTAAATATTCTTAATATTATTTATTCGGTAATTAAAACAAATGGATTCAATAAGTGAAACAAATACATTTGTTTTTAGAAAAAATAAATAAAACCGTTCAAAAATAATTCAATGCGAGAGTCGATTACTTAATTCCTTCACTGCATTTGTCATGGTTAAGTGGGCAGATATCGCAGGTATAAATTGCGAGGTTTTAAAAATCATAATCATTATTATCCTAACTGCGACTGTGAAACGTAACAAAAATGTATCAACTGATATCCTACATCTGCGCTTACACTACATTGTTACCTGATCTTCCTGTTGAAGTTTGGTGCCATATTTTGAGGCTTTTAGACCCAGCTTCACTGTTAGTAACGGTGAGAACTGTAAGCTACTTGAATTTCGTTGTCCAAGGAGATCCAGTTCTAAAGAAAATATTACGAGAAGCCATTGACGAGGAGAATAAAAATCGACTGAAGATGCTGACTCAGCCAAAAATGGCAGTGCAAATTAGTCGGCAGGATTATTCAAGGTTATTCGGAAGCAATGTGCAGAAATATGTCAAATCTACAGGAAAATTACCAACACTACGCCAGCCAAAGGACGATTCAACAAGGAGATCTTTATATGATAGGAAGAAATACAGTCAAAAAAGATATAATCCTTATAGATTGTAATAACATATAAAATAAAATTATTCAAAAAAATATTTTTTTTTTATATTCAGAAGTAAATTCTTATAGATTGTAATAACATATAAAATAAAATTATTCAAGAAAAATATTTTATATTCGAATTAAAATTAAAGGTTAAATATTCTTAATATTACTTTTCCAGTAATTAAAACAAATGGATTCAATAAGTGAAAAAAACATTTGTTTTTAGATCTTCCTGTTAAAGTTTGGTCAAGGACGAGTCAACCAGAGTCAGCCAAAGGACGGGTCAACAAGGAAACCTTTATATGATTGGAAGAAATCCAGACAAAAAAGATATAATCGTTATAGATTTTAATAACATATAAAATTATTAAAAATTATTAATTATAAAAAAAAATACATTCGAAATAAAATTAAAGGTTAAATATTCCTAATATTATTTTTTCAGTAATTAAAACAAACGGATTCAATAAGTGAAACAAATACCTTTGTTTTTAGATCTTCCTGTTGAAGTTTGGTCAAAAACGAGTCAACGAGTTCAGCCAAAGGACGGGTCAACGAGGAAACCTTTATATGAGTGGAAGAAATCCTGTCAAAAAAGATATAATCTTTATAGATTGTGATAACATATAAAATAAAATTATTCAAAAAAATATTTAACATTCGAAATAAAATTAAAAGTTAAATATTCTTAATATTATTTTTTCAGTAATTAAAAGAAATGGATTCAATAAGTGAAACAAATACATTTGTTTTTAGATCTTCCTGTTGAAGTTTGGTCAAGGACGAGTCAACGAGTTCAGCCAAAGGACGGGTTAACAAGGAAACCTTTATATGATGGGAAGATATCCAGTCAAAAATGATATAATCCTTATAGATTGTAACAACATATAAAATAAAATTATTCAAAAAAAATATTTTACATTCGAAGTAAATTCTTATAGATTGCAATAACATATAAAATAAAATTATTCAAAAAATATTTTTCATTTGAAATAAAATTAAAGGTTGAATATTCTTAATATTATTTTTTCAGTAATTAACACATATGTATTCAATAAGCGTAACAAATACATTTGTTTTTAGAAAAAAGAAATAAAACCGTTCCAAAAAAATTCACAGTCCTTTACAAAAATGCAACCGGGGGAGCATTGAAAATGATGAATAAAAACGTAAAAATATGATTAGTGTTAATATGAGTGTACATACATATGTTTAAATAACGAACTTAATAAAAAAACAACAGATTTAAAGATTCACTGAAAAAGTAGTAATGTTAACATTAAATAAAAAATTATCAATAATAAATATGATCGCACCTATCCGTAAAATAAACAAGCAAAAAAACAAAATAACATACAAAACATCAGGTTAACATGATGACAGATCATGATCGATGACAGATAAAGAATTCTTAACGGAAAGTTACACTTTACGATATAATTTTTTAACCGTTAAAGGCAAACCCCATTTAAACACAAAACTTTTTAATACTTACTACTGTATCTAAAAGACATTACTAAATTACTAAATTCTTAGCCACGCTTCTGTTTTTCTTGGCTGTTGTGCGTCACGTCACAGATTAACAGGCCCACCTTTGCACCACAAGGCGATGCTGCAGACCACTTGGTAGACCGGTCGTAGAAATTTATGTTATACAACTTGTAGTCAATCTACACAAATATTATCAAAAGCTTTTTTTTCTTTTAAAATGTGTTCAGATTTTGTAAAAAGCATAAGTCAAAATCGCAAAACTTAAATTTGATATGAGTTTCTTAGTTTTTAACTAATATAGTGGCGAATTACAAAAATTCCTTTTCAATGAAAATTAATCAGTTAAATAAAATAATTTAATAAATTACTAGCTTTTTCTCGCGATTACTTTCGCGTTCCACCTCGAATCGTTCATGCATTGATTTAAATGATTTTTTACTAATTTATAGAGAGCTAGTAGTGAGCATAGATGTTTTTTATTTTTTCATCTTCTTTTTAAGAGCACTAATACTCTCTTTATAGTTTTTTTAATCTTTGAAGGATAATTGAGGAAGATATATTTCGTTATGATGTCACTAATTAAACCCTTGTATAAAATTTTATACTGTCTGGTTTATAATGTTATAGTATTGCATTTTCGTACAGCAAACTTTCATTCCCTATTCTACTCCCTAAGTGTATAAATTTCATAAATTCGTTTTATCTTTGTGCCAATTTTTATGTGTATAATCCAGGGTCACCAAGTTTTATATAAATTTTACTAACTTTACCCATTTGGTTGATGGATTTCAAAAATTTCTTCTAATTCTTTTTGTAGGATTTCATTCTTCTAGACCAAATAGTAAGGAATTTTCATACAACAAACTGTTCCGACATCATTTTACTCTCTAAGAGGATGAATTTCCTAAAATCGCTTTGTGTAGCTAATTCACTAATGTCGTTTAAACGAACCTTTGTGCTAATATTTATGTATCTATAGCTGGCGGTATGAACTCACTCCTAAAATAACTAAAAACTTAATATATAATCTAACTGACACACCACTGACAATGACAAATAATTTATTTCTGGAGGTATTGTGTGTAGGTGTTTTTCAGGTATGTTTTAGTATTTAGTCGTTTTACACAAAGAAATAGCCATTAAGCACTATAAAAATACTTCATAACAAATCTACACATAGGTTTGGTTACCTTTCATTTAAAAAAAAATCATCAAGATTGGTGAAGCGGTTTCGGCGGGATGGATGCAACAAAAAAACCCTTTGAGCTTTTATATATTATGCATGGATTAATTATTTTTCCAACATATTTTACTTTGCAAATTTTTATAAATATTCAGACTCGCCAATATCGTAGTCCACCGTGTCCAGCCTGTTTAGCCAAACGTAGGCCGATTCCTCTTCGGCGGCGCGCGGCGTCGTGGCCCTGGCCGATGGAAGAGTCTTGAAGACGCTCATCCGCGCATAGGAACAAGTTGACTGCGTAGCGTATTGCGTATTAATCGATTCTGAAACTTTCTATCTCATGTATAACATGTTACGCAAATTTATTATTTTAATCTCGATTTTAATAGATAAATATGTGAAATGCCACCTGAATATCTTCCGCCATGACATGTTTTTACTTTTTTGTTATGGTAAAGTTATTTGTATAAACTTTATTCAATAGCGTATATTTTCCTCCATTTGTGATTTTTTAATTTTAAGCGAAAATTAAGTATAACATTTTAGGAAAAAGGAACACTGTAATATTTAAAAGAATAAGAACAAATTAGTCTTATTTTGAAAGAAAAATATAGAAAAAACTCTTTCTATAGAAAAAGGTCTTTATACTAACCAGAATCCGGTGACATATACGCGGTCTCACCGGAAACATTACTTATTACTTCACATAACTTGAATAATATCTAATTTTAATAATGAACACTTCAGAAATACACCAGTAAAAACATTTATTATTTGAGATTAAAACTCGAATGAAATTATAAATATTAGTTACCTATGTTGTTATAGCTTTTATAGGCCTGTTTAACGACTTAATAAGTTACCTAGCGAAAAAATCTGTACGCGTACCTACCACTATTGTTACAGGTTAATTTTTTAAAGAAATATTTTACACAAATTAAAAACGCTAAAATTTCAATGGTATTACTTGTGCATTATTGGCCTTATAATGCAATTAGATGGAATTATATCTTCTTTAAATATAATTAGACTTTTTAACGACTTTTGAGTTACCTAGGAAAAAATCTGTGCACGTACCTACCACTATTGTTACAGGTTATTTCGTTAAACAAATGTGTTACATATTATTCGTGGTATTAGTGGTATTAGTGGTAATATATTGGAATCAGCTTGGCATTAGCGGGGCATTATATAAGACATTTTGGTATTTAATTTGTATTTTTGGCATTACTTTGGCACTAGTATACAGACATTTGTCAGCGGTTTACTCCTTGTAGATAATCAAAAAGTTTTTAGATAAAATTTGCTTTTTATGTCAAATCATTTCTATGAAAAATATCATTAGATTTTTATTAAAGACGCTGGGTAATTAAAACATTGACTAATAAAGCTTGTCCACTTTAAATAAGGGGTCACGAAATATCCTCCTTGGAGTGTTTGG